GACTTCATGGGAATTTCAACTAAAGTGTTAAAAAGTAAAGAGTTGGTGGTTAAAATTTGTTTAGAAGAGAAATATAGTGTGCCACATATTATATTCTTTTAGGGTCTGTTTTCGGTGTTTTGTTGTTTGGGTAAATAGGAGTCAATGAAAAATGATTTCCGAAGTCAATGGAAAATGAGCCTTATTTGGAGGAAAACCATTTTTCTTTTTTTTTTCTAGGCAGAACATATTTTTCACCCTTCTCCATCTAAAACTCATCATCTTTTTCTATGCTACAACAACAAAAACAAGTTCTTTTTTCGCTTTTCCGCCTTTCAGCCACACACCACAATATCAATGTATTTTTCAAAACACGTTTTCCATATTTACAAACAAACCCCTCAAAGGAAATGCGACAAGTTTGGCTCTAATTGTGCGATGCCTAAAATCCGAAAGCATGACTTTAATTTAGGGACGGATGAAATACTCTTTAGCCAAACGGTATGTGAGATTGGCTAGCTTATAAGCTACTCCCTCCGCCCCAAATTAATAAACCTAGTTGCATTACCTTCTCAACTTTTGCTCATTTGTCTTGTGTTCCCTCCCCTTCCTATTTTTCAGTTGTTGTGGTCCTTCGCCTCTTCTCTGCTTGGGGAAACAGAGTCTAAGCCTTTCCGCTTGACACACGCAATCCCTGGGGCCACAAGCTTTTTGGACTACGAGACTGTTTCAACCTTTGAAGAATCCGGGCTGGCCAACTCCATGATTTCGGTTACCTGGGATTGAAGGAGAACTGGTTGGTTGCCCTATATGCATCATTGCAATCCTAGGAAGAACAAGGAATTTGGTGTTTTTGTTTTGTTTTTTGTTTTTGCTAACTGCCACACAAGCTTCAGCCTTCTGGCCTCTATTTATTTTAATACTCCTTATAAGAAACTCACCTAGAGAAGGTCGTGTAGAGCACATAGCTTTTTGTGTATAATATAAACATTATGGTCTTATCACTCTTATGGGCTTATGGTTGGATAAAGAAATCATATGGTCATGGGATGGGTTAGATGTGACTCTATGTGGAGTTTCTTTGTGTTTATAAGTTATTTTAAAATTTTAAGTTATGTAATATTCTATGTTTATAAGTTGACTTATAAATTACTTATGAGTCAAAATAAATAAATAAATAGGTCTTATGTATTTATTTTTAAGTCAGGTTTTTCATTTCTCCATTTTAATTAAAATTATTTACAAAATTATCTCGCCATTTATGAATAAATTCAAAGGACTTAGCTATCAACTAAGTCATTTTATATTTGCTAAAGAATATTTAACTTCTAAATAGTTTATTAGTTAAAATTGTTTATCAGCAAAAAGTTAATAAATATTATTCCCTCCGTCCCAAATTATAATGCCTGTTTACTATTCATAAAGTCAAGCTTCATTCACTTTCTTTCTCTATTTTCGTTAATAATTTGATAAAATAAAATATTATTGTCAGTACTAGTTTTGTAGATCTTTTGATGTATTTTTTTAATATGTAATTTTTATTTTTTCAATTCTATACTATTTGTCATATAAAATGGTATGAAAATAATTTTAGTCAAACATCGTAAACTGAAACAGACATTATAAAATGGGACGGAGATACTAAGATCCTATTCGAAGTGACTATGTTATGCGCATCTCTCTAATGCGTGTGAAACATGGAGGGGATTTTCAAACTCCATCTCTCTAACGTAAACTTTTTCATTAGTTCTGGGAAAAGTGTCACCATCTTCAGGAACCCTAACTCTCAGGTGCTTGCTAAAAAAGGGCTTGCCCTCTATCTCCTCTTTGGTTCTTCCTCATCTCAAATGGGGAAGAAACTTACAGAATTAAATTGAATTGCATGGTACTCTCTTTTCTTTAAAATGATCACTATGATTTTTTTAATACATTAAAAAAATAAGTGAACATAGATATATTTGGAGCATACCAATTCCGTTTGAAACAGAAACTTATAAAGCGTTTATCTTTTTTTCCTCCATTTAAATCCACACCATGTTATCTCAAAATTAGAGGAATTGAAAATAGATGGTCTGGAGAGAATCAATTTGTATGTAATCATCAATTAGATTCCCCTCTTTACAGTATGAGGAGGATAATGGGCATGTTTTGGAATATTATTAGCGTTTTAATGCTATCTACGAACAACGTTAGTGTTTTTGAAATAATCTGCACCGTTGAAATTTTATCTAAAATTCTAATGCTAATTTCTATCGCTATTTTCAAACAGTCAAAATATGTATGCAAATGCAATGAATGAAGCATAGGTCCATGAGCTACTAAACATTAGTTGGGACTAATTTATCTTTCGTGAAATTGTTTATTTTGCATCAAATCGAGAATTCAAAAGGATATATCGCAACTCAATTTAGGCTTTGTTTGGTACACGGAACTTAAGCCACAAAATTGAAACTGAAACCTTTAAATTTAATTCTAGTGTTTGGTAACATAAAAATATATAAATTTCAAATTAGCAGTGTAACAAAATGAATTAAAATTGAAGAATTCAATTCCATAGAATTTCAATTCAATTCAATTTTAATTCTGTGAGTGGAGAATACACACATGCAATTCAAAGTACAATAATTTGTCCAAAGTACAAGAAATGAATTCAACATAGTACATCATTTTAATCAAGAAATGATCAAGTAATTGGCTAATTGCAAAATAATTAATCAAGAAATGATTAACTAATTGCACCACTCTCAACTCACTGCACACAACTGACACACACACACACACTAATGACACTATACACTCACAATTAACCAATAAACAGACAAACACTAAACGGCACCGAAAACCTTCGAACTTGTAACAGTGGGCCAGGCTAGCTTAGAGTTCGACTTCTAACGTTCATTTTTTATTTGCCAATGGGGTTTCAGAATTTTAGACAACTCATACGGAGTAATTTATTAGAGGCCGATTCCAAAACCACTGGAATCCAGTAGCTACGGAAGCCACTGCCCCTCTACGGAGCTCCGTTCACGAAATTAATGATTCATATTCCCCTGATAACCCCCGCCAAATTACTCTCCCTACCTACGTCAATTACACTTTGTAAGTATAATTGGCTTTAAATTCAAAATTAAAGGCAATTATATATACTTGCGAGGTGCAATTGATGTATGTGGGAAAGTAGTTTGGGTCGAGACTAAGGGGGGTTACCAGGGGAGTAGGAATCATCAATTTCATGAACGAAACTCCGTAAAGGGGTAGTGGCTTCCGTAGCCACTGGATTCCAGTGGCTTTGGAATCAGACTCAATTTGTTGAAGTGAGTGGTACGTGGACCTCGAGAACTCTCCATTCCTCAACGTGGCCCGTTCAAGGGAATGAGAAGTTGGGGGCTTATGATGGGCCGCTAGCCAACTGGGAAGCCCAACCCAAATACGGAGGAGTACTTTGTGGCCCAGAGACGTTCGGGTTAGGGACTGTGCCAATCTAAGATGTTGGGTCTGAGCTGACCCGGATTGAGAGGGCCACTGGCCGCACGCATTGCGAGAAAGAGCTGTGCAGCTAGGTCATGGAACACTAACCACAATATTTGGATTGCATGATTTCCGGGTGATTAATTTCCATATTTAATAATTATATTAAATATATTAGTCAACATGTATGAATAGAGGTGAGTGGGGGGGGGGGCATGGTCACCCTTAAGCGAAACCTAGCGCAACACAGTTTAACACTCGAGTTCTTTTGTTAATAATTTTATCACGATCCGCTCTTGGATCTGGATCGATTGGTGGAATTATTATCCATCATATACAATATATATTAAAAACAAATAAAGTTTACGAACATTAGGATGATCGGAGACGTCAATCCAAGCGGGGGCCAACAATAATTTTTCCTCCGGAGTTCATTTTTTAATGGATTGTGCCACCTCGGTCATCAACTTGTCGCCTTTTGGTTTGTGACTCCTTCTGCGTGCATTTTTTAGTGCACTTTGTTCCAGTTGAGTCTCTGGATGCAACTTTGTGTCTTGGAGATTCATCGAGGTTTGCATATGATATATCGACGGATTACTGGCGTATGATTGAAAAATTTACATTGCTTCCTCATTTTCTTGTGAGCTGACGAAGGAATGCTAAAATCCGTGCACTTTCGTGCGTCGGTGTTTAATGCAACTCTGGCGTTTAGCTGGATGTCCCCGACATTAAGGACATTACTAGTGCTCTAAATGGTTGTGCCTAGACCCGATCATGGGCTCGGGTATTCAGTTCGCCCGCAAAATAGCGGGCTTAGGCTTGACATTTTCGGGTACGGGCCGGGCTTAGGCCTTATAAATGGCGGCCTAAATATTTTAGGGCCGGGCTCGGGTTTATGCTCAAGCCCATGGGCCGGGCAGGCCCGAATAAATTAAAATATTTTTTATTAATATAATTATAATAAAATAACAATAACAACATTAATAATAATAATAATAATAATAAAGAACAAACCTATTTCAAATTATTATAAACACACATACATAATTCTAACGAGAGAAAAAATTAACTATAAGTTTATATAACAAAATGAATACATCTTTACTACTTCGTATTGTTTGCAACGTATCACACATTGATTATGACATTCAAATAGATAATATTTTGTACTCCATACATAGTAGTAATATCAAAAAAAATATATTTATATATTAATTTTTCTTTCATTACTCATAATATTTTTTATATCAATAATCTAATATATTAACTTGTTACTTTATTTTTTTAAAAAAATTATTTTTTAAATTATTTGAAAGTTTTTGTCGGTCGGGCCAGCCTGGCCCGAAGCCCGCGGGTAACCTTGCGAGCCAGGCTCGAGCTTCAATTGTTAGGCCCGTTATACGGGCCGGGTCGGGCTCGGGTCTAGAAAATTTTCGTAAAGTAGTGTCTTGACTCGGTCTGAAACCCAGCCCGGCCCGCACTTTGATAGGTCTAGTTGTGCCATATCGCTTCTCCCAAAATGGTAAGATGTTCTAATCTTTACTATTGATGGCCGGAAGAAAGAAAACAGGTTCTCAACCCTAAGCGAGCGACCTTAGACCTAAATTTTGCTCTCTTTTCCATCCACCGTCGCTCTCTCTCTCCCTCCCTACGGAAATCCTCATCTCGCTTCCTCCATCACCGCCGCATTGGACTGTTGTGGATTCTGCCGTCCTCCTCCTTCCACAGCTTGACCGTCTACACTCCAAACGCCGCCCTACCTAATAGCAACCAGGTGCATCCCTTTTTTTCATGTAAATCACTGCTTATCCTTTGAATTATTTTTGAGAAATTTATTTGTTTGTGCTTTCATGTTGCGCTAATTAAGAATTTATAGGTTAACATTTCTAATTTCAATAATACTGTATATTATTACGTTTTAATTACTTCCCAATATCCCACTAATTTAAAAAACAATATTTTGTCCCTTTCTCTAACACTCACTTATTTTTATAATCCATTTTACCTCTCATTCATTATTCTGTTTCAGCTTGCACTATTCCAGGCACGGCTTGCCCCTAGAGAAAAAAGTTATGGCAAATCTGAAAGGACCACCACCTGGACCAGGGGGCCAACCCCCAAACCCTATGAATCTCAATCCGCCGCCCCCGAATTTCATGGCTTTTGAAGTTATCGATAATACTTTACCGGCACAGCTTGGCTTTCGAACGCCATGGATGTATCGGTGTCCTTTGAGCCTCACACCATGGCAGTTACCGCAGCAATCTCAACCTCAACCTAACCCTCTTATATCACAGGTTTGTTACTAGTGTTTGCAATGTCAATCAAGTATATTTCATGTTTCAAAACCGTGTCATTAAAGCAATACATAACATCACACGAATGCAGCTACTTTAAATAAAACTTCATTTCTGGTTGCTACACTTACTTTTTTTGCCCTTGATCTCTCATATACTTTCATTGTAATGATGTACAGGACTTTGATGATTGGATTTACAAATCCAATCATCCCCTATGGGAGGTACCATCAATGATGGATTGGAGTACCGGAATGGTGACAAATCAAGATATTCCGATGTGTATGACTCCCTATTACAGGGATGGCCTTCGCACTATACTTAGCCACGTGTACAAAGAATCAGTGATTGAAGGGCTGCACCGCGTAAACCTGGGGCTTCTTATTAGGAGGAATGGAGATGGCCTCGAGATCGATACCACTGATCCGCCATCCAAAATTGGTAAGAGTCGTAAGACATTAAACACCATTTCATTTTTTTGTTATTCACTGTATTCAATATGCTCTAATTATATGTTCTTTTGTTTTGTTTTAAAAGTCAAAACCGATCAGGTTTTAGACACCATTCATACACTGAAGCTGTTAGTGGAGCGCATCGTCGAATCTGTACCACTTACTCCTCCCGCCGTGTGGCCAGATGAGGTCACGTGCTTCTATGACCTCTGCGACTTTGCTGAAGAACCTTACATGGATCAAGCTTTTCTAAGGTAATATGTACGTGCGTGTTTTTTTTAGTAAATGAGAGGAAATAGTGTAGAGAAAGTTTGGGCTTTACATCATGGTTTTAAAAGGCGTTTGAGGCGGTGAGGCGGGCCTTTTAAGCCTCAGAGGCGTAAGCCTTGGTAAGGGTATGTGAGGCGTACGCCTTGCCTAGCCGAGGCGGTACGAGGCGGTTGAGGCGGTGAGGCAAAACTGAGGCGGTAGCCTCTATTCAAATTAAAAATTCAGAACCTATGGGTTAAATGATACTCCTTACAAAGGAATTGGGCCTTTAAAAAAATCTTGGGCATTAGATTTTTGTTAAAAACTTCTTACACTTGATGATAAATTAGGATTTCTTTTGCTTGTACTTACTGCCTCTCCATTTTCAACCTAGCACAGTTCTCGCGCAGCACTTCAGCCTCTCCATCTTCTTTAACTTCAGCACCCCCTATCCACAACGCACCTTTTGTTCCTTCGGTCTCTCTATTTTCATAACATAATTGCTTCATATTCTTTTTTATGGACAAAAATTGCTTCATATTCTAATTACTTCACCTTATAATTTTTTCATTTTTTTTTCCAACTTTAAATTTCTGTTTCTTTTCCCAGCATTACTCTCCCTATTCATCTATGGTTTTTGTTTAATTTGTATGAAGGTCTCTTAACTACAAATTTCATTGTATTATGTAGTGGAAATAAACTTGTCTAATTTTGGTTATGAAGTAGACAAAAAATCATGAAACTTTATCCACTTTATCATGTTTGAAGACGGATTTGAGGCATTTGTGACTTTCTGTTTTATGTTATTGTTTAAATTTGTTAGAGTGATTCTCTCTTCTTTTTTGTATTTTAAAAAATATGAGAGGGTATTACTTTTTGCATAAATCAGGAATTGAAGCCTTTAGATTTCAGCATCATGATTATGGATTATGTATT